GCATGCATAACAGTAATTCCTTAGGCAAAATTAATACTTGTCTTAATTGTTCACTAACTCAACACTAATGTTCACAATTTACCCTCATCACCAAAGTCTCAGCAACAAATAGTAAATGCTATTTCTTAGTTTAAAGAAAAAGAGAAGGATTTCTTCGAAAAGAAGACAGGTACCTCTAGAGTACAACTGCAAAGCTATCACACCTAAACAAGATGTATGAGCATTTCAGATTCCCAGCAATTTCCTAAAACAAGTTTACAATAAAACAACAAAAAACGAGGTGTTAATGAATCAATTGAGAAAAATCCATAAAACTGTGAGCTTTTGTGTATGTTAAGAAACAGAATAGCCAGAAAAATAGTTGAGCAAAACAAAACAAAAAAAAAAGAGTAGAGCTTCAGTTTGACAAGTTATAAATACTTGAAACATTACCTCTGTGTTACAGAAATTAATTTATAATAGTTGATATATTAACAGGACACACTTGCACAACTGTGTGCAATCTGTCTATTTTTTTCCCCAAATCTGTTATTGATAATTTCCTTTGGACAGTCATGAAACTTGTAAAAGCAATTTTTTTAATGCTGTGGGTTGTGTCGTTATGCATTAGTCAGAAATCTCAACATATATATCTCTTGAAAATTGCTGTGGATTAAGAACATTTCTGGATTTTTAGAAAAATGAGAGTTTGGTCAATACAAATAAGCCAGAAATCTAGCAGGTATATTTCAAGGCATCAGATTCTTGCTGTAGAATTATTATTATAAGTGGAAATTTGAAAGTTGAAGACTGAGTAGGAGCATGATTGTTAATACTGAACTACTGGCTGAAATGCCATAAGTTTCCCATGCTGTGGATTCTCCTTAACTTATCTGACCAAATTCAATCTTCTTTGGGAAAGCTGTCATCATGTGGCTTCTCTGCAGATTCTCTATTGTTTTTAAAACTTACTTGGGCTAATAAGAAGGTTTTTAAACACTGAACACCAGAATGAAACTAGTTCCACCCCAGAATACATCAGAGAGTGAATGGAACATCCTAGATAGCAATTAACTGGCTATGTTGCATCACTTACTTTGACATTCCAACAAAAGGTTTTTCTTTAGAGCTAAGTTTAAGATCTTATCCTCATAAATGTTATATGGACATTTAATAAAATCCCTAGAGCTTGCCCTATTTGCCCCTGCACTTCTGGAGTCGTTGAATTCCTACTTCACATGTGGTTATATTATTCTTTTTATAACAACATCCAAAGAAGCCTCATTTCTCCTTTGTTATTACATATTCCAGGTCAGCCTGAGGAATTTTATGTTTTCTTTTATCAGATAATAAAGATTTTGTTGTACACAATGTTACAAAGTTCTGCATGGCTGCTGTCATGCTGCATGACTGCTACAAAAGACTGACCTTGGGTTTCACTGAGTACTCATAGGGGCCTCTTTCGGCAATGTTTACATTATTGACATTTAAATGTGACTTTGTTTCTGTTGCTTTGCTTCTTTCTTATCTCTAATTAAAATAAGCTGGATTGATTATTAGAGAATTCCAAAAAGTATCCCTTCCTCAGGCTCCTTGGGCTTTTTGGCATTCAAAACATTTTTTTAATCCTGCATGGAGACATATAGGTGGAAGGAACTGCTTTTTGAAATTCTGGAAGTACTACTGCATCAGCATTTTGACATATGTTGATTAGAACAAAGGGGCTGGGCAAGTTTCAGTCTACATTTGCCTTTTTTGCCCTTAGTAAGGATGTCTTTTATCCTGGGTCCTCCATGAATATAGCATCCAGAGTTTCTTCAAAGCATTTGGCAAGCTTCCTTTTTTGGTAGTCAATACTCATCCACCACTCATTTGTTTAGCCATATGTTTCTCCCTGCCACTGAATTAGGTGCAATGGTTTTGGCTCCAAATTGGATGACATCCCAGAAGGCCAAGAGAATCCTTTCTCAGTATAGTATTTTCTTTAGGCTATTCTTCACTGGTTGGGAAATAGAATCCAGTCTTTATGGAGTGTTACCTCAATTTTTTTTCATACAGATACTTGGAGGTTCCCTGTCAGGTGATATTATTGCAGAAATAATCAGCACTGCTATAGAAGTACAGTATCAGCCATTAGCAGCTTGATAACCTTGGTTGGAAGGGAAGAGCTCTGTTAGCTCAAGCCTGTTTCTATGGGACGTGGCATGCTGCATTCCTGACTTGTCAAAGAATTTTTGAAACAAACTGGTCTTGCCAAATTGTTTTAGCTTGGGTTAGAGGAACCAAATTCAACATCTCTTCTGGTTTTGCTTATGTGATGGAGAATTGAAACCCTTTGCATGCCATGGTCAATAAGATTCAGAAAAGATCAGATGAGAACTGGTAGTCCCAAATCAAGGAGGATACAAGTTATTCTACTAAGAATTTTCCTTTTCTTTTATAAGATTCAGGTGAATCTTCACAGCTGATTCACAAGGAAGTAAAGAGATTCCTAGACTTGTGTCCACTGTTCTTTCCTTAGGCATTTGGAAGCTAACCTGGAATGCTTGGCTGGAATGCTTATGACTGCACAAGTGCAAACCCATATGTGGAACGCACAGAGACCAAAAGGATATTCTTTGATGCTGCAGATTTTCTGTAAGCAGCAGGAGAAACATCCCTGAAGTATGTACTAAAACTTCACAACTTTGGAGCAAGAAATAATAAAACATGAAGAATTGGTGGCCAGAAACAAAAAAGTAATTTAATAGGTACATTATTTTTATTATCCATTATGGAGTAATTATTCTTGTTAATTATATCACCCATTGTAGGTTTATATTGATAATTACATAATTACGTAAAACAGATGGATAGCAGAATGCTCCCAGATGGTGAGACAATAAACAAGTTGACAACCTATAACTGTTTATGTTTATAATTATAAAAATAATTATGGTTCTCAAGCTAATTATACATACTGGTTGAACCTCACTTTGCCATATTGTCTATATATACATAAACACCCACCACACAGACACAGAGACACACACACATAACTCAAAAGGCAGATACCTGGAAAAAAATCTCATCAATAGAACTTATTGTCCCTTAAGAAGAACCTTTAATTATTTTCACTATGTTTTACTGAAGAATCCAGTTATATCCTTACTTCCAAAGAATGAAATATGCCTTGCTTCCTTCAGATTTCTACAAACTACATAGTATTTTCTCAGGGTTTTGTGTCTGGCTTCACTTTGGATTATGTCTGATAAAGGAAGAACCTTTCACTAATTCAGTATTTAACACATTGTATTAAATAAATTACTCATTGGAATACTAGAAATGCACAGGGAATAAATCTCCATTCTTCATTCTTGGAGTAAAGATCGAACTCTTCCAGATGACCATCCCATATATTATTAATTTCCAAACATGTATGCTAGTTCATGAAAAATGGACAGAAAAATGCATCAAGTTATGTAATTACAATTCTGCAGATAAGTAGGAGTGTACATGAAATTAGGAAAATGTTTTGAACTCCGTTGCAAACCATTGCATTCTAGAGGAGCAGCCACACTGTTTTCAGTCAGTCACTGCTGGGAAGAACCAAAATCCAGAACATTTTGGTTGTTGAGTTTTGGAATCCAGATAGGTAAGTATGGTAAGGCTGATGTGTGTCACCCCTTCTCTTTCTTCTGCAGCTCCCAGCATGACATGTCCTACTGTTCCACCTACCCATTCCCTATCTTATCAGTGGCTTCCCTTCCCTCCTCCCTCCTTCCCTTCAGCTGCCACACTTGACATCTCAACATGGTATATCCCACTGGCCCACCTGATCTCCCACTTCCCACGGCCTCTGCTTGTTTGTTTATACTGAGCAGGTACGAAAAATCTGCAAATAAATTTATAAAACATCTGGATGACTAAATCTGCCTCTACATCCATTAATATTCAGGTTTGTGAGTCTCAAGTTTTCAAAATTTGTATTTTTTTAAAATCAGAGAATTGCACTGCAGAAGTAAAAAAAAACACAAAACATAAACACAAAGGATAATTGCAATTCAGTTCACATATTGCTTTTTTTTTTTTTTAATAATTCAGCTTGCTTCACTGGTATCAACACAAAAAGTGATTGTGAAATATACATATTGAGTGAAATGTAAACAAATATTGCATTATGTTGCTGAAAATATATATCCATTTTATTCCTACCTCCCTCAAAATGAAAAATAAACTTGTGTACTGAAACAGGTTTCCATGTTGGCTGTCACCCTTAAATATACAAGAGGCAACTATAAGAGCAGAAAATCTCTAATATCCAGCAACCATGTAAAGAGATCCCAGTTAGTTAGAATCATGAAAAGCAACAGATGGCACACTTATATGCATTCCACATTTCCATCCTCAAAGCACATAGACCCATATACCACCTGGCAAGATGAATAAGGGATTAGAGAATGTTAGGGAGGATAGGTCTACCAATAACGATTAGCCACAATGGCTAAATGGAACCTGAGGAGCAGTATGTCACTGAATACTGGTTGCTGAGAGAGGACTGTGAATTTTCCAGGCACATTTGGCTGGTCACTGCGGGAAATGGGAAACTGGGTTATACAAACCTATGTTATGATTCAATTGGGCTTTTTATTGATCACAATCCAGAATTTCCAAATGTAGATAATCTATTTGATGTGAAAATGGGGGAGAAGGGGATAGCAAATGTAGGACTGGGAATTATCTTTCTGGAAGGATCAAAAGAGCCTGGTTAAAGTTCCATAATGCAACTCTGCTTATTTTAATATATTAAAATTATTCTCTATCAAATTCTAATAATAGAAAGGCTGCAGCCTGTAACTGTTTTTTTAATGGAATATATAGAAAATGATACAGCCGACTGTGAACTGTAAGGGCATGAACATGAGGTTCAAGGTAATTAAGAAGCAGCCCAGCAGCATTAAGACAGTAATGTCATCCCATCTGCCAGATTCTACATTTAGCTGGAGCTATGCCTTTTGCTTGCTTCTGCTTCAGTTACCCACCTGATCCTTAGAGACTTGCTTTGATGGAGCATTTATGCCAAGCTTTTCCAGAGGATAGACAATCTGTCGTCTTGGTCGCACGGGAACCATGTAATGTAGGGCAGATGTCAGGGAATGGGCACAGGGATTCTGGAACTGAAGGACAACAAGCTATATTTTAGCACACAGAATGTCAGAAAAGTACATCACAGATGTCTCTGCTTTGTGAATATAATAATTCTTTATCCCTTTGATTAAAACCCAGAATAGTATCTCCCCTCCCTCAGAAATATAATAAAATAAACACTCATGAAGTAGAGGAATGGATTGCAGTTAATTCCCAATACTAATGAAGATAATTATGAGAGTAATTATATTACTATCTCACTGGGAATGACAGATAAACAAGTGGTTTGGTTTATGGGATTTTGCAGCACAAGTAGCTTCCCCCAGAGGTATATTTTCCTTTACTGCAATCACGAGTCATCTTCATCCAACCTCATTAAGCAATGTTACGTGCATATTCTTAACCTTTGCTTATTTTGCAAAACAGATAAATGATGCTTTCATCAAAATGATAAATGACAAATGTTAATGAAATAGCATAAACACTAAGAAAGATTCTCATGCTTTCATAAATACAAAAAGGGCTGATTTTATTGCAATAAATTCAATTATAGTCTTCATGTAAACCATTGGAAAGCTATAGTAATTAAAACTGCAATAATGCAAATAAAAAATCTAGAGTATTTCCCAAGTCTATGTTGCATTAAAAATAAGAATTCAAACTGCTATTAAAAGAGCAATTACATCATATAAAATAAAATTAAGTTCTTTAAGTATAGAAGGAAATATGTACTACTAATGCATTATTTTTTGACATTCCTCACCATTTCACTTTAAATATTACCGTGGCCATATTTCAGTTCAACACACACAACATGCTCTTCTATACCTAAGGCATAATATATATAGTAAAGTCTTTCTCTGCATTCACTAAAGCCTTTTCTGTTCTTCCTTCTCAAACCTGCTCCTAAGGATTGGGGAACCACACCTTCAGAATCTGAAGCAACGCAGCATAGAAATTTTAGCTCTAGGGGAAGAAATACAAACAACCCTTTCTTTCTAATGCAAGCAGGATATAGTATCCATTATGGTTAGTTGTCCTTTTATTGTACTGGCAGTCTTCCTATCTCTACTTTGAATCTGCTATGCTGGCTGATCAGAAATGGAAGTAGTCCACTACCTATTCTCAGACTCCTCAGTGAAGATCTCCAGAAATGTACCAAAGTTGTGTTTGTTATTGCCTTGTAGAATCTCTGGGCTTAACCCTTATACTTATGGAGGCTCTTTGGTTATCTTTAATAGTTTCAGTTTAGGATTAGATTTTTATTGTGTACTGTCTTTATCTTAAATTAATAAAATAAGTCTATTTGCACATGAACTTCTTTAGATCCTGGCCTATGCTGATACTGGCTATTTTCCTTGTACAAAGGACATGTAACAGCACAATCTTAAATATGTTCTGAAGTAAGTTCTAGGAGGTTCCTACATCAGAGCTAAACAACTTTCTTAAGTATTCCTTAATTTTCTTATTAAAAAAAAAAGGTAATATATACAAATGGAGGGAGTAAATTTTAATGAATCTCTCTCCCTCAGATCAAATATTAATTCTTAGATGTATTTTAAGAATAAATGTTACAATGCATATGTGGCAGCTTTGCATGTTTATTTTATAGGAAACGTACTTACAATTTTTATTGATCTTATCATAATTTTAATTCAACAGTCAATATTGTTTCTTTTATCCATTGAGAATGGATCACATTTCATTGAATTACTATATAGTTCATACTTGAAATACATACATTATATTTTTGTGCACTGACATAACAAAGCGAAGAGACACAATTAAAAAAAATTAAGTTAATTTTTAAGAAGTTTGTAGTTTACCTTGCCTTCTTCAGGCTGGGGATAAATAGGATAATAGAGACAAGATTTGTGGGCTAACCGAAGTATCTCCTTCATAAAATGTTTGGCATAATGATGAAAGATTGGATTGAGAGCAAAATGGTAAAGGTGGCCATGTTCTTCCTGTTGGTAATGACTGAAATAGATAAAATCTTCAATGTTGTAGTGTGAGCGAATATATTCAATGTCCTGGAAAACAATTCAGGAAGTGGTTAAGGAGGAATTCTGCATCTCTGCATCAACACCACATCCTCTGCCTGCATTAAAAGACAAGCCACTATTAAGGGAAATATTCATTTGGAAACTCTTTCTTATGGACTTCCTCAGGAACATGGTGGACTGAAGGTGGCTCCGCAAAATTGGAGCCAATGATTGTGACTAAGAACAAGCAGCTGACGAGTATATCGGTTCCTTTGACCCTCTCTGGAGAAAGAGAGGACAAGAGATTGCCCAAGTTGTGCTCCACACGGTTGCTCTTCATGAGGAGATTGCAAGGCAGCAGTCTCCAGAGGGTGGGAGAACCAGGAGATGAGGGAATTTGCCATTCTTGTTTCAGCTGCAGTCGGAACCTTTAAAAGACACTAGGTTTGCACTTCCTTTGCTAACCACTTTTGGAAGTTGCCTATTAACTGCTTTAAAGAAGTTAGACACCTTCAAAATGACAAGGCTGGAAATACCAGGTGAGTGCCTTCAATCCTTACTATAAGAAAATGAAACTGAATCTTTATAAGCTTTAAGAATTTAAAATAAACAGCAAAAAATAAGACAAGGTTTTGGCTATAAAAAGTTTTAAACAGATTAAGGGTTCAGAAAATGTTGGAATATTTGATTTTGAATATTAAGATTTTGAAATTAATTTTAAAGAATAAATGCATTTTCCTGGGAAAGAAAAATTATTTTCAACATTGGAGACATAACAAGATAAGCAACTTATAATGGTGTTCAGAGATATTTTTGAGGAATTGCACTGGGACAGTGTCAGCTGTGTTGTGTGTTTTTATGAACAGTCTACTCCCTGAAGAAGCTGTTACAGAAAACAAAGTTTTGGAACAAGTTTTGGAACAAAACTTATCTGACATGATTGTGGAGAACAATGTGAACAAGAATTTGTCATTGGATCTACAAAAAAAATTGGATGAGGCTTTAAAAATTAAGAAGGAAATAAAAATGCCAATCCCAGAGCACAATTGGAATAATTTCTTCTTGCTGGACTTACAAAAGAGACTTGTTAAAGTTTTGAAGAAATTTGAGACAAGGGTCAATAATCATTTGAATGGATTAAGGAGCAAGATTGTTTTACACAAAAGGAAGGAACATAACATTGGCTTATTTGATCAGGGTTAAAATGAGACATGTTATTTTGGGTGGTTCTTTCTGGACTTGCTGACATCTGGACTGGAAAAGATGTGTATTAGATTTGCTTACAGTTAAGAGTTGAGATATGGAATGATGAGTTTTATATTTGTTAACTAATGTTATTATTTTAGGGCTCTGTTTGACTTTTTGCTGACATTTGGATTGGAAAAGATGTTGCTTATTGGACTTGCCTATAGTTAAGAGTTGAGTTATGGGATGAAGAGTTTTATATCCGTTAATTAAGAGGTGGTAAAGAAATACTGATACTGTTTATACTTATGAAGAGGGTGGGAAGTCACTTTCTTAGTTTTTTTTCTTTTCTCTTTCTATTTTTTCTTTCTTTTTTGTTTTCTTGCACCTTTTATTCTCTCTCTCTACTTTTCCTTTTATTTTTAGTCTGTATTATCTTTTATTATTGTAGTTAAAACTTTAAAGAAATTATTAAAGAAAAAAGATTTGAATGACTATGCTTGTCACATCCAGCTGTAATCGGCTTTGCTTGGTTTAGCCTAGTGTATTGTGAAAACTCAGCCCCTGCAATCTGCAAACCATAGTTTGTGAATTCAATAAATTGTGCCTTATTTAACCAAAAAAGAAAGAAACTCTTATGTTCTTTTCTCCTCACCTTTCTCCTTGCGATAGGGAAACTAGTGTCCAAATTGCATGATCTTAATTTAACCAAAAATACATTCTTCTCCAACAATGTCTGCAATATGTGTATCTGTGTGTATGAAAAACAGAAAGCTGATGGATGGAGTATCACAATGCAAACCCCACCCCCTTTGTATATGTGTTGATGTTACATGGATGTTCAAAATGGATGCGGCCTATATTGCATAATTCCTGCAGCCAGCTTGCTGATTTTCACCCCCATGCAGACACCGCTGCTCCTTTCTTTATGAATATTTAAAACTTATATTAATCTGACATTTTCCGGTCAAACAAAAATAATTGCAAATATGAATACATACCATTTCATTTCTAATAACAGATATTCCAACTATTTGATTCAAAACCTCTGCTACAAATGCCTGAACTGGTATCCCATCCTGAAAAAACAAACCAAGCAAGTTGGTACGCGTTTTTTTCCTCTACTAATTGAAAAAACATTGACTGATTGATTGGATTTCTATCCAGCTTTTCATTCAAGAACTCAAGGTGGCATACACAGCACTCTCCCCTTCTGTTCTCCCCTATAACAATCCTATAAAGTGGGGTGGCTTAGGGAATGAGAATTGCTTTAGCCTATAAGTCTCCACCAGAGTATTTATCCACCAGAGTATTTATCTCTACCTGGTGGTACCTGATGGTAAGTCTTGTACTAGTGCCAATGCAGGTTAGAGATTGTGCTTCTCCTTTGTATCTTTACAATTGTTGAGGTCTGAAGATATGGACAGGATCCTTCAACAAGTTTGACCAGGAACTCAGATGCTCAATCTTTGTGCACCTTGGCTTGTTAGATTTAATAAGGACAAAATAGCCAGTTGGGTCCAACAGATCATTATTCCCTTCAGAGAAACAGTGTTACCACACTCTTTGAAAAAGAAAGAAAACAGCCCAATTTAATCTGGAGTCAAAAGTTGTGTAAAAGGGCTCTTTGAGTTCAGTTTTAATGCCCAGGCTACTTAGTACCTGTATGAAATCACAGCAAGAGAGCAACTAAGAATATGAGCTGAGATGTCATCAACATGAGGATGACACCAACTTTACTAATCTTTTTCATTTAATCCATACCTCTTGGCATGGTAACTGACTGTATAACAAGTAATAATGAAGCTCATTCTAGACAAGATGAAAGCACTGTTCATTTGTAATCCATTTGCCCATGTGAACGTGTTCAGCTTGTTCTGGAGAGGGTTGCATTACTCTGGAAGATCAAGTATGCAGTCTTGTGGATACTTTTGGATCCACTATTGTAACTAGACACAGGTAGCCTTGTTGTCCAGAATGACTTTTATCAGCTTAGATTGATATACTAGCTGCAATCCTTTCTGGGCTAGGGTACACTGGCATCAACTATGCATGCTCTGGTAATCTATAGAATAGGCTAGTGGAATGTATAGTAGGTGCAGCTACTTTTGAAGGTGGTTCAGCAGTTTCAGTTAGTAACTTGCAGCTCTGGTTTTCACTATCTGGAACTGGCCAATATAATCAAATGCCAGTAATCCATCAGCTACATGCTGGCTGCCAATCGATTTCTAGGCCCAATTCATGGTTTTAGTACTGGTCTTTAAAGCCCTGATAAGCCTGGGTATAGACAATCTCAATAACATTTTCCCCATTATATGTCTGCCTGGGTCCTTCAATCAACTTTAGAGGCCCAGTGAAATGAGGCAGGTGGCTGCAAAAAGAGGACTCTCTTAGGTGTGGGATCTTGCTTGTGGAATTTCTCTCCAGACAGGCAGATTTGCAAGTACTGTACATTATCGTATTTTCAGTGCCAGGCAATGACATTCTTGTTCTCCAAGGCACTTTTATAGTTTTCTGTTCAATCTGATTTTACGTGCCTGCCCTATAATGTTTTAAAGGATTTTTTTCCATTTATTAATTTCACATCATCATTTTTATTTTTTAAAGAAAGTGTTAATTACTTTATAATCTGCCCAGAGCAGTTCTGTTATTGAGTGAATTACAAATAATTACAATACATTCCATTCAATATTAAGTATTATTCGTATAATACTTACTGGATCTCTTCGTGCTGATAAGTACTTATTTAAGTCATTCAATACACTTGTGTTCAATTCCAGGGTTTGTATTAGTCTTTCAATACCAAAGACATCACTAGATTTTGCTGCTCTTACAAGAAAAGACCTGTTGAAAACAAAAGCAATTCCAACAATGTCATCTACTAATAACTAATGTCTCAGATCCCAGACTTGGATAGGCAATCATGATGTATAATGGTATATGGTAATGATTGTTTATAAAGAGAAAAAGGAATTATGATACAGGTTGTTAATATCAAAATCACATCAAACTCAGTTTGAAAGCCCATTACTGTGTTTGTTCACAGGGAATTCAAACCTATTACACCTCAGTGTATACCAACATTATAAATTTTCATCAGCCTCATATCAGTAGCAGATATATATATATCCCCCCTGCCCCCCGTATACCTTCTCTAATATTTTATTCTATTTCCAGCTGAATCCCTGCCAGCAGAGATAGGAAAGTCCTATCAGCTGACAAAATAAAACAAAACAATTGATTTTAGAAAGTTATTCAACATGTTTTGACCTTGCTGCTGTTTTTCAGAACTTTTCTCTTTTGCTAATCATTTCACACCCAAGTTGCAGAAAGAGCTGAAAAGAGATTAGGTTTGAAACATGGGTACTTTTCTAAAAGAAAATAAGCTTTTATTTTTAGCATAATACAAAATCCATTTTACGGCAACTTTAGATGTTCTCATCCTGTTTTTCTAGATGCCATACAGTGCAGTCTGTTTCTATCTCTCACATATATATATTAATAATATAAAGAGAGCCTCTGTATATGTAATTAGTTACAAGAAGCAAAATGGATTAAATAACACCTGAAAAAAATGGACAGCTGTTTAAAAAAAACAGACCTATTATGAACATGACAGAGTAAGGTATTTTGTCTTACAGACATGTACAGACTAAGATATTTTTCTCCCAATGCCCATTTTGCTCTCAGTAAAGAACTCATTCTAGAAGCCTGAATCATTTGACTGTCCAGATGTAAGGGCGCCATTATTATTATGCTTTGCAGTCAAAATTGAAGAGAAGTATCCATTAAGCATTTCAGACTACACCTTGTCATATTATTATTTTCCAGCCCTCCCCCTTAAGTAGTAGACCTGGTATTGCATTTGCCATCTTCTGGCTATTGTGTAAGGTCTTTCCTTTTTTACAACCTTTGCTAATCAGTTTTTCATTTAGAGCCTTTTCCTTTATCTTTTTGACTTTGTACTTTCAATTCTCCTCCACCCCCCTATGCTGTTTCTAGAGAGTTGCTTTTATCCATTTTCAGCAACTCACTTTCTATTCACATGTCTTTTAAACTTTCACAGTGCAAAAAACATTGCATTGATCTTTGCTTTTTATATATTTCTTCATCAGGAAGGGATTATTAGCACTGGCTTTTATGCTCCTCGGGTTTTTCCATTATTGCTCAGTTTTCCATGCACATCTACTTCTTCTCCAGAAATTATATTTTAATTGAAAGACTTCAGATGAAAACAGGTGGTCCAGTTTTTCTCATACATGCCAAATCTCACCTGTAATGCTTTCATCTTGTTGTTTCATGTAAAGGTATAGTGTGCTTAGAGTATACACTACAATCTTTCTGTGAAGGGATATCTAGACTGAGACTATGAAAAAGAGCAAATGTTGAAACAGCTAACATATTATTAAATTGTGTAAAGTATTTTAGCTGTTTTAAGGTGTTATGTTTTATGCTGCTGTTTTTAGTTTAACATTTAGTTTAACATTTAATTTATTGTTATTTTATAAGCCATATTGGGAAAATGGCTATTCTGTGGCGTTTAAATAGGTATCTGGACCTACGTATAGGATGTAGCATAATATCTGGAAGAAGTTCAGAGATACTTATATTCAAAAGTTGTCCCCAGTCCAGATATGCTTCTAGCCTGAGTATGCAAAACTGGTAATCTAGTCACTCCATTTAACCTAACAATATGATGGTCCATCAGAGTTTAATAAATCTACTTTTAGTTTTTACATGGCATGGTCCAATGCCATGTAAGGCTTTATTAGGTGATAACCAGCACCTTGAGTTGCACTCAGAAGTGAACTGGCAACTAGTGCAGCTCCTGAAGCAGGGTTGACACATGGGCATAATGTGGTGGACCTGCCACTGTCCATGCTGCTATATTCTGGACAAACTGTAAGTTCTGAGTGGTCTTCAAGGGCAGCCCCAAATAGAGTGCATTGCAGTAATCCAGATGACAAGTGACAAGGGCATGAATGAGGGTCTAAAGGGCTTCCAACTCTAGGAAAGGGTGTACCAGGTGCACCTTGCACAAAGACTCTCCTGGTCAAGGTTGCCACCTGCTTGGAGCAGGACCTGAGAGTCTACAAAGACCTCAGATTGCACACCAGTCTTGAAGGGGGAAGTGCAACCTCATCCAGGACCAAAGATGAAAAATCCTCAGATCCGGGGGCCCAAATAACCACAGCCACTTGGCCTTGTAAGTCTGTTCTTTTCCATCCAGATCTGAAAGGCCTCCAGGCACTTGGTCAAGACATGGTTAGTACATGGTTCCGAAACTGCCTGGGAATACCAGGATTATAGGCTAGACTGGAAAGTTGGGAAAATACTGGAAAAACTGGCAAAGCATTTCCACACTGTTGCCAAGAAAACTACACGGACATATCAGGAAGTCACCAGGAACCACAATCTGCTTGAAGGAGACTGTATTTCAAAATACCAGCATTAATCCTCTGGTAGGCTTGATGCATATCTTTTCCCTTAATGAGTCCCAAGTCCCCAAAATGCAAAAAACCCAGAAAATTTCACCCTAACTTCTTCAGAAAAGTTGCCATCATACCAAATTCAACCCTTACAATACCCCCATCCCCAAAACTGCTATGGGCAGTTGTCTGTAGCTTTGGGTTAAAGCATCATAAATTTTCATGTATTTGTCAAATTTAGAGGCTGCCAACTCTATAAATTCTCTGGGCAGCATACAACATTAAAAACAGTAAGAGCAATAAAACAAGGAAAAGAATGATGTACATCCAAAAAGAAACATTCAGACCAACATACAAAGCCTTATAAGGAGCCTGCCACAGACCCTAATGCAAGGCCTAGAGAAACAGCCATGTTTTTAAAGTCTTTTTAAACACTATCAGCTTGGGGTCATATGGATCTCCGATTATACAGATGAGAAGAACTCTTCAATCAACATCTGGAGGGGTTTTGGACAAAAGAGGATGAACAAGGTGAGACTCAATCCATATAAGATAGAGGTATGAAACTGAATATTCTAGACCAGTGTTTCTGAAAGTGTGGTCCTACACCCCTGGTACTACATACATCCTATTCTGAGATGGAGATGTACCATCCTTCAAAAAAGAGTGGGGTTTGGGATTAATAGGGAATTAATAGTTTGCAGAAGTGTCTCTACAATCATTTCTATGTCATGATATCCTGTTTTTTTAAACACTTTTTTCTTATCAGTAGAATGCTATCAGCAAATATGTCACTATATCACATACCAGCAGAAACACAAAATATAATCTAAACAATTAATTTCAAATCAAAACAATTTCTTTGAAAATGCTTGTGAGAGCAAAATGTATTACTAACTTGAGCAATCCAGAACGGTGAAATACATAGAGCTCCTGATCCAGTGTACAATTATTAAAGGGAATAATCCTAACAAAACTCTGGATCAGATGAAATTCAGGGACCATATGTGGCACTGTGATGATGCAGAAGTCTTTGTCCTATGAAGAAGACATAACAAACTGAAAAAAAGGAAAATGCAAATACAAAGTATAAAGATAGGATTACAAAAAGCAAGATAAGCCTTTTCCCACCTCCTCCTCTTTACTAAAGTTCCCCAAGTCTGGAGATTTCTCAGCATGGCCTTGGATGAATCATAGAAAGTTGAAGCATGTGCAGGGCAAGGAGGGAAAGTAAGGTTGCCATTTTCTTGAACAATCATTCTCTGAATCCAAACCATGAAACAATTAATTAAACATTATATATACAGAGAGGCAGAGAGAAACATTCCTTTTTAAAAAATACAATTTTATTAACTTCAATAGTACTGATAGGAGAAAGATCCATTGTTTATATCTGTTGAATATTTTGGGAGCTCAATGGACTATGAAATTCTCCTTTAAAATCCCATTAAATATATGAGACTCTTTTACAATTCTCACTCAGCAGAACTTTCAGGATTAGGCCCTGAGTAAACAATCAAATAAATCTCTATGCTGATTAGGAACTCAGATATGCTGATTAGGAACTCAGATATAAATATGTGTTCTTCATTTGGGTTACAAAGCTTGATTTGCTCTGAAGAAAATGGGAAATTCTGTTCCATTTATCATATTTCTTTTACTATGGAATGAGAAAATATGTTTTAAAATTTAAAAATTAAAATCCCATATTTAGCCTGTAAGTATTTAGGAGGAGAACCTATTATATTTTCAAGCTCTGTTCTAAAAGTATGATATCTTATCTTATCTTATCTTATCTTATCTTATCTTATCTTATCTTATCTTATCTTATCTTATCGGAAGATTGATTGCATCAATTGTATCACTGTAAGTTTTACTGGGCTTTTATCTAGGGAAAAAATAGACCACATATCTTAATGTAAGCACCATGCAGCCATGCCCAGGAGATTAGGCATTTCCTGTTGTGCTACGATGGCACCCTGCTAACTCATGCTGGTTATCAGGTGGCATTGAAGGCAGATGGGTAAATACCATTTTTGTGGCAAGAAATCAATCTATTATTACTATTGCTATGTTTTTCAATCATCAAAGATAACAGGGGGTGGTCAGGTAATGTTACTTCAACAGAAGGGAAGGGGTGAGTTCTGATGCCCTTTTGCGTTCTTTGGGACAGATTTTAAATTTATTTCATTTCTGTTAAAAATCATCGAATTATCCAGCTATGGTTTAGTGCTGTGTCACCAAATTATAATGTGATCTTCAGGGGTAGGAACAGTCAAGTCTGTGAAGATTCCCTTGAAAACTTTCATTGACTCTTAATACAATCCCTCAAAAAAATATTTACAATTGCTTTAAAATTATTTGGTTATTTTTTCCTCAAAAGCAATGTTACCCTGTATGAACAAGTATGATGTTCAGCAAATTTTAATTACTTTTCTAGTAATTAATTAGCAATAAGGATATTTTTGAATTACTTTGCACACATTTACTACGAAAAGTTTGAAACCAAAATGTCATACTTACTGGGAAAAGATTAAAAACAAAATTTAAGAAATCCAGTGACCTGCAAGTAAAACCAAGTACTTTAGCAGAACTGTGGTATTTGCAGCATGCAAATGTATTTTAACCATATCCCCCAAATAAAAAAAACAAATATATCCTGAAGTACAAACCAGAGAACTGATCAAGGAAGTGCCTTAATGGAGACTCTGTTAGAGGCAGAAATAGTCATCCTCCTGCCCCTTGGACAGAGATCAGTCTTTTAGTTGTCATCCCCTTTTTTTCTCCTTTCTCTCGCTGCAACAAATACTTCTCATCCACCCATTTGAACTGACTTTTACTTTATCATTCTTTTCTACAGATCCTTCCCCATGTGCATGTTTTATCTAGAGAACAAGGTTGTATCTTATTGCCCAGTTTTCCTATGACTGGTTTGAGGAAACTACTAGGACACGGATAATGTTTCTTTGTGGAAATAGGCTCAGGAATAACCAAATTTTATCATTTTGCTGCCTAGTTTACATGCTGTTGTTCACTCCTCAATGGAGAGGGTTTGACTTGAGCAAACTCTATAACATAAGCAAGAGCCAAAATTAGTAGGGTAAATGAAGGAAAAGGCCTTGAGCAGAGGAAGAAAATTGGTTAAGAATGAAGTAACTAGTGTGGGAAAAATAAATGGAAAGCTGGGTTAAGAGGGGGGAAAATGAATGAGAAATTAATGGGCATTAACCTTTTATTTTCTCCAAACTGAATAAAAGTTGAAGGTATATATCTCCATTGAAGCCTGTGAAATGTCACAGACATCAGCATGGGGATTTTTGGATCATGGGCCGTTATTATTTTCTTATGAGAACAGCTGAAAACTAAAAAAAAATCTTTACAGAAATGTAAATTTCTGTAAATGTAAATGTAAATTAAATGTACAGAAAAGCCTTTTTTGATAAGATAAATCCTGACACATTCCTTGTATGTTTGTATAGCCTCTTCTGCAAGACCACGCTATGGGTTTACCTTTCCAGGACTTCTCTTGGTTTGCCTTTGAGGATGTACAGAAATAGGTATTCCTGTGGAAGAAATCTGTATATGCTAGTACCCTGAGTGGTAGTTTAATGAGTAAAGTTGCTTTTAAGTTAAGAGCGGGTAAGGTTTTTCAGGCTAAGGATTGTAGTTGACTGTAGAGTAGCGGGTAAGGGACTGCCCTCCTACAAGTGGTTGGGGCCAAAAGAAGAATTGTTAACAACTCAGTTAAAAGCAAAATTAGATTAAATTTAAAATTAAATTTACAGTTAGCATAATTGTATCCCATATATTTAATTATGTCCTTTTTTTCACATAAACAGTTATAATACAGTGATAGGTTTTGGAAGAATTCTAGCATCCATATTAGATATACATTCCTACTTTAAGTAAGTTGGGTGTTATGATGGATGTGTATTTTGGTTTTTTAAAATTTGCCAGCCAAACCTCAGGTAGTATAGTATTCTGAAGGGCAGGCACAACTATGGAAAAAGCATGCTTCCTGAGTCCCACCAGATGACAATCCCTGATTGATGGGACCCAGAACATGCCCCTCTTGCCTGACCTAATGGGATGGTAGACACAATGGGAATAAGGCAATCCCTCAAGTACCCTGGCCCCATACCATGAAGGGCTTTATAGATAATAACTAGCACTCTGAACTGCACCCAGAAGCAAATTGGGAGCCAGTGCAGCTTGTGGAGCAAAGGTATAACATGGGCATAACAAAAAACTCCCAAAATTGCCCAGGCCATTGCATTCTGGACCAACTGAACCTTCTGGATGTTCTCAAGGGCACTCTACATTGCAATAATCTACTCAGGGGGTGACCAAAGAATGAGTTGCTGTGTGCTGTGCTTCCTAATCCAGGAAAGGGCATAACAGGTGCACAGCACAAAGCTGTGCAAAGGTCCCCCTGGCCATGGTTGATGCCTGCTATTTAAATAGGAACTGTGCATCAAAGAGGACACCCAAATTGCACACCAGTTTTGTCTTGAGTAGTGCAGCCCCATCCAGAACTAAGGATGGGAAATCACCAGATCCAAGAGGCCTAACACCCAAAGCCACTATGTCTTGCTAGAGTTGATCTAAAGCCTTTTCATCCCCATCCAGACCCCCACGGCCTCCAGGTACTGAGACACAACCTCCATAACATCACTTGGCTGGCTGGGGGCAGACATACAGCTGAATGTCATTAGTATATTGATGATACCTCACCCTGTGCCATTGAATGACCTCACCCAGGGTTTTCATGTAGATGTTAAAGTGGAGAGTGGGGAGAGAGTCAAGCCCTGAGGCACCCCACATGACAGGCCAAGGGCAGACTTCTCCCCGCATCTGTCAGCCTTTCGAGGTAGACCAGACTAGAAAAACAAAGTTATGAATGCTGATACTACTCTTATCATATAGTTACAGTAACAGAATTTTGTATGTCTGAATAAGCTTCTCCCCTCCCTCTCTTTATCTTCATGAGAACTAGGGAGGGTCAAGACTGAGTTGCTTTCTCAAATTACATTTCTGCTTTGGGCTCAATTTTATTTTATCTGTTGTCTTGGTTGTGGCTCTTCCTCCTGTTCCTCAAGGTTATTCCTATAGCTCATTACATCATCACACTGACTGGAACTGACCCCGGAGGAGGAAGGAGAACCAACATAATACTGTGCCCCAACTCTATATAGTCAGTCAAAAGGATACCATGGTCAATGGTATCAATGTCATCACACAAATGCCATGACATAGGTAATTCATTCAGATGCTAGACACAAATACTACATGGCGGCATTTGCTTGATGATGTCACTGTGCATATATCATTATTTTGCTGACATCATAGTTTTCTGCACACACTCCTGAATGGGGGCTAGGATATACAGACAGATGAGTTGTCCCTATTCTTTCTTTCAGAATAAAAATGTCAGTTAATTGCTAAGTTTATACTAAATAGTAGCAGAAGAAGCAAGACCAGCTCCCTTTCCTGCAATGTTCTATGGCTGCTATCTGAATTCAATGGTCCTATGTAGGTAAATGACTGGTAGTGCCTTGATCAGGAAAGTAATATTTATTTTCCAAGCGTCGGCAATACTCTTACATTTAAATTTCTCTGTACAGTTAATTGTCCATCTACCTATCTTTTACCTACCTACAAAATATAAATAGCTTTATCTTATAAAAGCTTGATGGGCAAGATGTAAATATTTCAAGTAAATATATGTATTTATTTAAATAAATAATATGCAGTGATTATTAAATAGATCAATAATATAAAAATATGGCTCATTATTGCCCTTAAATTGTTATGGTATATCAGGTATTTAATTCTAATATGTACTTGCCTTGTTTCGTGTTGCTCATCAATACAGAAGAGCTGAATACAAAAGGCATTTACTGCTCCTTTATACAGGGGACAGAAAGGTTGTCTGTCAAAACTAACAGTAGAGGTAGATGGTGTTTCAGTTGCTTTCAGATCCTTATTTCTGTTGCTTTCTAATGCCAGTTCTAATGAAAACTGAGCAAGTATTCCCTCTTTCTGCAATAAGAAGCAATGAGAAAAACAAGAAACTTGGTTTCATTTTATAATAGAGTTCTACAATATTATTCAAAAGGGCTTAGAGGCTGCACCTTGAAAAACAGAGTACAATTATATAACTGATAATGTGTATCACCTTATATACTTTTATACAAGGAAAGCCATCCCTGCTGCATATGTTATTTTTTCACACTAATGAATTCAAATTCAAACATGAAAAAGTGAGGGTAGATACTTCCACCAAATCAACTCAGAATGAACCTTTATGGTAAGTGTCCCATGTTCTGTTTTCAGTTTCAAGCAAGCAGACATCCATGCAATGGATATATACTGTACAAGCAATTCTAATGGAGAGGGCAAGACAAGAAAAAAAAATGTTGAGTTGTATGTACCAGAGAACATGCAGCCTCAGAGGCATGTTTTATTTTTTAACAATTTGTGAAAGCAGGGACAAATGACCATGTAATAGATAAATATGGGGCTGCCCTACAAATTTCTACAAGTGTAGGACTACTACAGAATATTGTCAATGTGGAGGCTGCATCAACTAATTAAACTAAAATTGGAGCTAGTTCAAGCAGAATTGTTTTTTTTTTTAATACTTCTTATATCAAAAATAATGCAGGAGACATGCTGTTAACCTAAAGTTGATTGCCTAGCGAATGTAAATGCTTCTGATATAAATGCTTAGTGATCTCTAAAGGAATAGTTTAGGAGCTTTACAGAAAACAGAAGTTTGCCACTTCTAGATGGCTAACTAGGTTCAGCAATCCAAAGTATGGGTCAAGTACAGGACAGTGGAAGGTTCTAGGCCTAGGTGTTTTAGAGGGGCAAATGTTCTGTGGCAAGCTTGACTGCTCAATTTGTAGTCAAAAATATCAAGATTGAGTGCAAGAAATTGGCCTTCTAGCTAGGCAGATTATGGTTACTGTGATCTTGATGGAACCTTGAAGGATAACCTTCTTCACTGACATTTAGGGGTCTAAACACTTTTTAATTTTTTCAGTGGGCAATGCATGTTGGTAAGTTAGGAAGGACAGCTAGTTTGGTGTAGTGGTTAAGGCAACAGGTTAGAAACCAAGAGACTGTGAATTCTAGTCCTGCCTTAGGCATGAAGCTGAGCGACCTTGGGTCAGTCACTCTCTATCAGCCCTAGGAAGAAGGCAATGGTACACCACTTCTGAAATCCTGCCAAGAAAACCACATGGACGTGTTGAGTAGGCAAAAAAAAAAAAAAAAAGGAAAAGCCCCAAGGGAGAAAAAAAATACAGGCATATCCCAGAGAGTAGCTTTATCAGGGCTGTACAATTTGTTGGATTCAACTAATAAGAGGAGCTTCAAAATATAGAAAAGTATGAAGAACATGAACCCAGCACCTCTCAACAACACATTAAAATAGATATGCTTTTTTCTCAAGATTGTATGGCTACTGTGGGGATGCTTCTACTGCAGCTATTCAATCCTAAAAACGGATGCAGTTACAAAAAAAGTGCTCTGTTAACACTCGTGTGCATTTCAAAGAGCAGTCTGAAGCCCTAAATTTTAGTAAGGTTGTGACACACAGATCAAATTAAGATTCAATTTCCTTTTGTTTTCCAGAAAGAACAATGTAATGTTTCTTTAGAAATCAAGACTAGCAGGATGAAGCTCTTTAGAGAAAGCACATCAGTTGACCATTAGGATTTAGTTAGTGTGACCTTCTCACACTTTTCTGGAGCTAGGCAGAAAGGAAGAGTTACTTTTTTAAAATCCAAGCCTCACACATGTGTGCAATTTTGCAACAAAGCTGATTTAGGTAGAGTTTGCACATCATCACATGTGAAAACAGATGACAGGATAATCCAAGGTCACTGTGCTCCTTGTCATGCATCCACCTCCCCTTCATTTTGTGGTGGAAGCAACCTGTAATCTTGCAGTGTTTTTTCTTAAAATTCCAGGTGGCAATGCCAGCTCCTGCAGAGATGATACTGGCCTCTGCTGGATCAGCTGTATTGCACATAATGAGGTGCAGGAATTTTTCAGACTGCATCTTCCCACAGCTGTATATACGTTGTCCCTACTATTGGGGACCCTGAAGCTGCAGATGAGGTTTGTCTGCCTTACCAAATGGCTATTAACCATGTGAATTATAGCCCCACTTACAGTTTTTAGATTCAGGAGGAATGGAAGTGCCATGTGGAAGAAGTTAATTATCTTATGATGAAGTAGCACCTACCTATCTCTGGGTCCCTTGACATATGAATTATTGGCAGCAGAAGCAGTTGTTCTCTTGCCCAGCCACTACTGAAGGAGAGATAAGAAGCACAAACCTGGCTTGGCTGGACAAGGTGAACTCCATCCCCATACTTTGTCCCTGCCTGCCCAATACAAAAAGGGCACCAATTACTTCCTAAAAGTGGGGCTTGAAGAGAACTGTCATTGAAGGCAAGTAGCTTGAAGAAGCAGTGAAGACCAGCACCCTCCATCATGCTGAATGCTGGCTATCCAAAACTTTCATCAATCTAATGCCCCCAGCTCTGTCTCCTTTTCAATGCCACTACCACCACCCTACAAAAAACTCACTTAAGTTAAGCCTTCCCACCCTGACCAGCAGATCCACTCCACTTGTCTGCCCCTCTACCTCTTCCAGTCATGATTTATTGAGGTGGAATATTTTTAAGGGGAGTGGGGAGATGAACATCAAGATTATGTGCCTGAAGCCAGTCTATTCCCCAAACACTTGGGACATACAGTAAAAGGAAGTAATCAAATATGTTTGCAAGAATTCCTGGTGGTCATTGTCAGCTGCAAAAGAGTCATATGATTTGAGCGGTCTGCTATTGATTGTCCATCTGCATAGCAGATAGCAGTTGTGCAAAAACCTCATCTACACAACTGGCAGTCGCCCCAAAGTCCCAAAGATTTGAGAGCTGGATTTCCAAGCCCATGGAGGTGTGAAAGCTAATGGAGATTACAAAATGCAATTGCCTGGAGTCAGATGTTGGAGCTCCCTTTAATTGCCGAAGGGACTCTTCTGGAACTCTTGGAAGGGAGGCTTGCAAAGTCTCCCAAATACAAAGTTTTGGAGCTGTCTTGGAATTTACTTCTGAGTAAATTTCCAGAGGTGAGGCACTTTCCAGCCAACTTGGAGCAAGGAAGCTTAGCTGAGGAAGCCATCGCTATGTGTCCTGGTATACCACAGTAAAAACACAATCTGAGGTTTCGTCTTCATGGTTTTGCTACTGCAGAGAGGGATCTCATAGCTCTTATTTGCATGGCCTCTGTACTGAGTCTGAGGAGGCAATGGGGAATGGAGGAAGGGGTGATGAAAGACTGTGAAACTATGTCCCTCTGTTATTTCTCTCTGCTTCAACTCCTCCCACCTCCATCAATTTCTACATAATGCTGAAATAACTCTTCCAGATTCTTTGGTGTCCTGTCCTACCAGTTCATTGGAAAGCCCTTCCCAAAATGGATCAAGGAAAAATGTATATCTCTGACATACAACTAGAAATCAGCACTGTATTCATGAACAGCAGGGAGCTTGAGGATCTGTCACATTATTCTAGATCTAGTAGTCAAGGTCCAATGCCTCTCTGATGTGAGAGTAGTGAGGCTTTGAGAGTGATGGCAGCTCTTCTAGGCAAGGTCACAAAACAAGAGTTGCTAGGAATCTTGGAATGACTTTAATACAGTTAGGGTACTGTAAAAGTATCTTGAAAGCTGTCATAGCCCTTCTCCACTTCAACTTATACCTAATACAATTAAGGCAGAGTTGTTTGGGTTTTTTTCCTTACACTTTTTACTTTCCCAGGACTGAGATATCTTTTCTGTAATGGCTCAGCATTTCCCTACCCCTTCTCTGAACCATGTATCCTTCACAATATGGCTTAGGGCCTGGGTATCTTTGGGATCACTTTCTCCCAGTGGTATCTGAAAAGGAAGACTCTCTTTAGGTCCCTTTTCCTAGAGAATGTTACCACCAGGGACCTTGGAAATGAACCTTCTCCATTGTCACCCATCTCTTATGGAACAGCATTTCCCCCAGGATTACAACAGTTTGATCCCTTCTGGAATTTAGGAAAGCCATTAAGATATGGTTGTTACCAGGAGCCTTTGAATATCCCTATGAAGTAGATATCCCCTCCCCCTTTATGACCATCTATAGAGATAGTCTTCGACTTACAACCATTCATTTAGTGACCTTTCAAAGTTATGAAAAGTGACTTACGACCAGTCCTCGCACTTATGACTGTCACAGCATCCCTGTGGTCACATGATCAAAATTCAGATGCTTGGCAACCGGCATGTATTTACAATGGTTGCAGTGTCCCAGGGTCATGTGATCATCACTTGTGACCTTCCCAGACAGCTTCCAACCATGGGGAACTATGTGATTCACTTAATGACCATGTGATTCACTTAACAACTACAGTGATTCATTTAACAACTGCCACAAAAATGTCATAAAATTGGGTGCAGTCACATGATGCCTCGCTTAACGACCGCTTAACTAATTTTCAGGTCTCTATTGTGGTTGTAAGTCGATGACTACCTCTATTACTTATTTGCTCAGCACAACAGGATTAATGATTATTAAGTAATGTTATGTTATTTTAACCTTTTTAATGGATGGAGAGTACACCACTCAGAGTCAGTTAAAACTGAAGTGGTTTCTAAGTCTGTGTAAATAAATAAATAAATAGCCCTACAAATAAACAAGCAATCCTTTATCGGGAAGGGAGCATTTTACAGGAAGAGAGAAATGTAGTAATGAATTTAGTTTACTGAAAATGAAAAGTAGAGGGGGAAGAGATCTCCTCTCTCCTCCTCTTTAACTTGTCCCTAACTGCTTAATCAATTATAAAAAAATGCACAGTATTATTAACTATATAAGGAAGAGGGTGATATGTGGGTTGCCTCGGTAGGCAGAGGACAGGAACGGTCAGAACTCCCATATCTACATCTTGCCAGATGTAGCTGCCACAAGTTCTTTGTTCCTGTCCCTGTGCTGGAGTATAACAGAAGATAAATAAGCTGCCATAACCTGTGCATGCACAGTCAGAGCAAAGGTATAATGAAATTTCCTCAGACCTTATACAACATATGCTGGAACTGGCAGCCTTGAAGATTAGGAAGCCAATTAAACAAACCAATCCTTTAATCAGGACTAAATCAGTGGAAAGTCTAGCATTTTTATCTCTGACCATCCCATAACAGCCCCAACTTGGGATAGGATATTTAGTGCATTATTATTTATGACCACCAGATGGCAGTACATACTGAGTACAGTACTGCATACATACTGAGCAGTTCTTTTTGTACATTTTTGTACATTTCTCAATATGTATTATACCTTAAGAGTCTTGACTCCTGACAAACAGTAATAAAAATCTCTACTGCACAGTTGCTTCTGACCAGCAGATGCAACTAATTATCAAGCAGCACATTTAATTCCAAATAGCTATTCCTCCATTTGTTTAGCAGGAATACTTTGTTTGAAGGAATTTAAGAGTAGAAGCAGATTCTGTTCCAGTTTGGTTCCCTATATTCAAAAACCACCCCATGGCTCAACTATTGCATAGAATCTCCAGGGTTGGTTTTAATAAAACTTACCAACTTTATTTAATAAGGCAGGGAGAGATGCTAGGAAGTGTACTTGATTTTTCTATGTGTTCATAACCATTTTTTCTGTCTTAAATCCATGGTTATTTACATTTGAAGGACAATGTACAGTAGTTTAATCTAGAATGAAATAGGTAAGGTCTTGAGAATACCCAAGGATAAATTTAAACTAGTGGAAAACCAAACTGTTTTAAAGACTTCTGGAACATCATCAAGGTGGGAGCCAAACAGATCTCTGGGAGGGACATCATTCCAAAGGGCAGGCACTGTGACAGAAATGCTGTGCTTCCTGGGCCCCAATAAATGGCATTGTTTGAGTGATAGGTGAAAATTAAAGACAAACAGATAGAAACTGAGAAAATTGAAATGGAATTATAGAGGTAGGGTTAATTTTGGACCAAAAATACCCTCTCTACTTATTAGTAGGAACATGAGGTCTGTCTTCATCTTGACCTGTATTTCCAAGAAAAAATAGTTTACCATATACCCTTTGTCACATGACAATTCTAGAATGATTTCAAATGAATGTATAAACGAGAAAATAGTTAAGTTCTACAGAAAATTGGCCAACATTCTTACATGTTATATAAAGTATAATTATTTCAGAATCTACAGAAAATGCCCATAAGGAAAAAAAGGAAAGAAATTATGAACTTTGAAATAAATAATATTATAAAGAGACTACTGATATTCAAAATAAGAAAAATGTAGATGCCACAATAAGCTAGAACTATAATGAATTTTTGACTTAGCATCAGCAAGCAGCATACTAGTGCACGTTGCTAACATTGTTTGGCCACCTCTGTAATTTATTGCTATACGTGATCCATAAACTCTTGTCTAGTTCTTAATTTATAAACAGAAGTAAATGAATTATATCAGAAAATATTAGAGCTCCAGGTGAGTCATGGCTGACTGAAAACATCTTCACGAACAGTGGAGACAGACAACCACAGTGAAGAATGAAGGACCGGCAAATAGACTGGTCCTTCAGAACCTCTCTGGAGAAGGAGAGGATGGGAGACAAGTACTCTAAATAGCAGCCCCTCATGAGGAGATCATAAAACAACAGTCTCCTGCGGGATTGAGCATCAGGAGACGAAGGGAGACAACATCTCGCTCTCAGCCACAGCAGAGACTTTACAAAGGAAACTAAGTAGCTGCACTCACTTTCTAATCACTTTTGGAAATGATCTGTTTGACCTTCAAAATGCCGAGTTTGACACCTGGTGAGTTATACCTTTTTTCTTTGATACAAGGAATTTTAAATAGAGACTAAAAAATTTAAAAACAATATATAACTGGCAAAAAGCAAAAAAAAAAAAATTTAAGAAAGTTATAAACAGACTAGGAGACCAGAGGAATTTGGAACATTCGTACTTTTGCTGTAAGATTTGAAAAACAAGTATATCATTAAATAATACACCCGTGGGAAATGACTGAGACACAGTTAAATCCATATTAGGAACTGAGATTCTTTGAATGCTGCAAATGGACACTAGAGAGGACTAAAGGACCAGGCAGAAAAAAAATGGGGACAAGCACGTCTATCAACGTTCAAACTAAGGTTTTAAAATGGCTAACCCTGGTATAACCTTTGAGTTTCTTAAAGAGTTCTTCACAAAAGAACTGAGATATTAATAACGAATACCTTAGAAATCATACAGGTTCCAATGTTTAAACCTTCAGAAGATGCTAAGGAAGATTTTAAAAACCAACATTTACCTGATACAGATATAACAGAACTTGAAAGTATAGGATATGATAAAACTGAAAAGATTACTAAACTGGAAATACAAAAGATAAATCAAGAAAAGGACTTGGACAAAGAGCAGTTGAGACAAGAAATCCTGGACAAAGCCTCTTTACTAGATTCACAAAAAAGCTTGGTAAAAGATCTGAAGACTTTTTGGGATGCCAAAGACTGATGAAAGACCAAATCCTGCAACACCACTAGAACAGAATTAAAGGCGAAAATTGTAAAGTAAAAAAGGAAGGAGTATAAAGTTGGACTATCTGATCAGGGATAAATTATTTATTTGACATTTCTGATAGCTTCTAATGGACTTTTTGCTGAACCAGGACTGAAAAGATGATGATTACTGGATTGCATATAGATATGAGTTAGATTATGGGAAGAAGAGTTTTTTATTTGTAATCTTAAAAGAGGGTGAATAGTTATTATGTTAGCTTATACTTGGTGTGATGAAAGTTGGAAGCCACTTCTTTGTCTTTGTCTTTGTCTTTGTTTCTTTTTCTTTTCTTTCTCTTGCACTTTTTAAACTTTTTTCTTACTTTTCTTTTATCTTTTAGTTTAGTTTTATCTTTTTATCATTTAGTTTATGTCTATTAAAACTTCAATACAATTATTATTATAAAAAAGAAAATATTTACACCCTACATTATATACTTACAGGCAATCTAAAAACACTTGTCTGAAAAACTTAACACAATTCTCAGACTTCTCTAGGAAGTCAGATAAGAGTCATTGATGTAATAGCTCACAAAGTAAAACATACAATAGAAAAATACTTAGTTGCATCTTGTTATACATGAGTTAAGCAATTCTCAAACAAGAAATACTTCCAAACCCATAAACTTAAACTTCACTAATAATAGTAGCTTTTAAATCAAATCTAATAGTCCATTTAAAGAAAGATATTAAATAAATCCATACTGTTTCCTTAAATACTTAAATACTGCAAAAGAATAAAAGTGTCTATACCAGCTTCCATATGAAAGGACAAGAGGTTTATTATTTTATATTGCTAAAAATTCTATCCTAACTATTCTACTAAATAAAATGGTACTATCAGATATTAATAATCTAACTTTTTCATCATTTCCCTATTTATGCTATTTCTTAGCACAGAATTGTGTTATAATTGCAGCCTACGTTTAGAAGATATAAATAATCCTAGATTTAGAAGATATAAATAAGCAAGATATAAATAAACAAGGGTGCAAAATATCAGATTCAGAGGACTTGCCTGAATACTTTCTTCTGCAGCTAGCGTTGCATTTGCATCTGAAGCTTGAGAAAAGACACTTCCAATTTTGCTGGGTCTCTACCAGAATACAAATTGGAGGGAGGAAAATCTGGTTAACACCATCTATACTTCTCTATTATGTCCTGAAAACAAGTTGCATTTCTGGTCATAGCTAATCAATGCTTCTTGTCATCAGTGCATCCTTTTGGAAGCCACAACAGGACTTTTGGGGATTATGGAATACTGTACTTATCATTTTTTGTCTAATACATATACACATATTGGCAATACTTTCACTTTTGAACACACATTTTTTTATAAATATTTGTTCAGAAAATTGCACTGTAATATTCTGAGAAACAAAAATAATGAAGGCTAAGGATTGCTTGATTATAAGTAAAGTTTTTGGAACATCTATTTTTGCAAATATGGATTCTGTATCTGCACAATGACTCATTTAGAATGTTTTAGAACTGAGAAGTATCCTATCTCCCAACACAGTGCGTACAAGTGGTCCTCGTTTAGCGACTGCCTTGTTTAACAACTGTTCACAGTACAACAATGATGAAAAAGGAACTTTACAACCAATCCTTGCATTTACAACCTTCACAGGTCTGTAATGCAAAGGAGAACTGAAGTAAGATCATAAGCACCATCGTGGTTTCACTTAGCGACTGCTTCGCTTGACAACCAAGTTGCCAGTCCAATTGTGGTCACTAAACAAGGACTACCTGCATGTCCAAGAAGATTCCATCAAATTATTACAGTTCCTGGAGCTGGCACGCAGGTCCTTTTATATGGTTACAAAAAACCAGGCCTGCTAGGAAAAAGTGGGTGGATTTGGGATACGTGCAGATGCCCATACAAAGAACTACAGTGGTACCTCGGGATACGAACTTAATCCGTTCCGTGGCTCTGGGCGTATCCCGAGTTGGTCGTAACCCGAAGGAAATTTCCCCATAGGGTTCAATGTA